TAAATATGGTGTATGCCCAAAGGATCAGAGCACAGTCCTGGGCGAAATAATTTCTCTTGACATCAACAGCCCTGTCTTCTCTGGAAAATAAACCCTCCTGGGGAAGATGGATGAGGCTCATACTGGTCTTGGCAGCCTAAAAAAATCCCTGTGAGGGGAGCCTGGGCTGAAAACCTCTGCTGTCACTCGGTCAAAGTACCAGCACTGGCAGTATGACAGACCTGTCGACCCTTCTTCTAGCTCTGGCCAGCTGCGAGCAAATTGGGGCAAGCGGGAGGGAGGGGAAGAGCATCGGGGTTTCTTCCCCGCAGCGTTTCAGAAATACCAGGTACGGACTCGTGTTCAGGCCCCAGCTGGAGAAGACCAGCCGCGCGGTCCCAGCGGCTGCGGCCTGTCCTTGCAGCCGGCGGGTCGGTGTCCCTGGCGCGGAGGTGCGGGGCTGCCCCGCAGCACGCAAAGCCCTGCCGGGACCCGCCAGGCAGCCGTGTCGTATCAGACTTGTGCACGTGTGACTGTGCTGGAGCAAAGCCAGGGGAAACGATCGCCAGGACGAAAATCCAAGAAACTTGCCCTTGTTAGCAGAAAGTTCCTCACTGGGTAGTTCTCTGTATTTATTCGTTTTTGCAGTTTCTCAGTTGCAAACTCAGCTTTTAAATAGGAATATAATGAACATAAAATAATGAAATGCAAGGGGATCCTCTGAAAAGTGTGATCGTTCTTGCATTCATCAAAGTTATCCTAAGAAGTTCCTTTTAAACCCATGCAGCTGTTGCACAAAACCAGGCACATTTTAATAGTCACTTAAAAAGGAGTGGAAATTATTCCAGCTGGTCTGCAAACTGCTGCATGTGCACATGCAGGCTTGCTGCCCGAGTCGTGTGTGTAACAGAGGCAGCGGTGGAGGGTGATGTATGATGTGACGTGAGACGGAGCTGGAAAGTCTAAAAACCATTACTGCTGGGCCTGAAGCAGTTGCGCTCTCGAGCCATGCGGGGTAGGACCTGAGAAGTGTGAGCGTGGCTTCCAACCTTCACTTAAATGTTACCGTGAGAATATACTAATCTAATGGTCTGGCTGGACTTTCCTAAACGTTGTGGTATTTTGTAAAACCAAAAGTTGCCTCAAAATGAAAGCTGTGGATTCCCGGTGGATGGTGCCTTTGTGATGACAAATAAGCTTTATTTAAACACCCCCCCCCCAATTTATTTGTTTAAGTTACTTTTCTAGGAAAAAATAATGAGCAGCCTGCCCTTAAAATATCTCCTTGCTGAATTTGCGCTGTAAATACTGTACTTGGGAAAAAAAGAGGACTTGAGAAGGAAAGACACAAACTTTCAGCTGCCTTACCATGGTGTAACCTGACTACAACGGAGGGAAAAAAGAAAAGCATGGATGGTGATGTTTGTTAAATAATGTGTGGCAGGTGAACAATTTTTTTGTTTCAAACTGTTTTTACTGAAGTTTACCAACCATGTTTCTCCAAGGTGCCGTACGTAACTGGAGCTGAGGCGCGTACGGGTGGGTTACCCCCGGAGCTGAGCTGTGCTCTTGCAGCAGGACGGACGGGCTGCATCCAAACTAGAACAATCAATCACGGGAGGCGTCTGACGAGGTAGGGTGGTCACCAGCTGCTTAACGAGAAGCTCTGTGCCTAACGCTGGCTGCCGCTCGGGTGAAGTATGTGAAGCGCACAGGTCAGTTCTGAACCAGTTGCGGACCACCTGCTACTGAAAGGGTGTCTTTGCAAGTGTGAACAAGTATTTGGGGCTTTCTTTTCCTAAACATAATCACCTAATGATAATCACTCCTCCGGAAAACTGATCAACTGCCACCCAGATTCGGCTTGATACAACGGGTGCTCAGGAAGGAAAGCGTAACCGAGTCCCTGGAGAGTGTTGATAAAGCTTAGAAAAAAAATTCCCCTGTGCACGACAGAAACTAATACCCCTGAAACAGCACTGATGTCTGTAAACAGTTTCCTCTGATTCTAGGGGAGAGCAAAAATTTAGTTTTAAAGAATTTTGGGGTTTTTTTTAACTCGTGGGTTAAGTTCTTCCAAAGTGCTTTCCAGATCTGATATCCACACCAAACTCCACTGGCTCCTTGTCACCTTCACTTGTGATATCACACTTAGACAAAGAACAGCCTCTTTTAACGTAATGCCCTCTGTAACAGTCTCAGTTACAGTGTTCTAGCGCCAATAAAATTCAGAAATGCATTTTGCTCATTTCAATCCCCAAACTTCTACGTGCTTATTTCATTTTCTGATGTCAGTAGAAAGAATAAGGGAATTAAGGCAAGAGATCACAATCTGTAATTAAGCTAGATGGAGCTTCTTAAATTATTTGAGAAAATAATTTGTGCATGCTCACCTAGGTGGCAATTTCATCTAAAACCTGAACCTGTGACTCCAGGGTCGTGAATTATCTTCATCTAAATACTGATCTCGTTTAGCTTAAACTTTTACGGAATGCTTGTTTGGAAAGTGCAGCCATAGCGTACGGGCTTTGCAATTCCTCTTCATCCGTTACCAAGTACGGCAGCCTGACGCTCGCAGGGCTCACCGCGTCTGTGTCTGAAAGAGGCTCTCACGGTTCATGTTCTGGCAGGATAAACGCTAGACCATTAATAATGTGATTAGACCAGTATATTTTTATAGGCATATTTCAAAGCTTTGTTGTACAAATAAATATCAGTGGAAATACACTTTAATTTGGTTTTAATTTGCTCGTACAATGACTTGACTTTGAAACGGGAGACAGTTCCAGACCCCCAAACCTGTGCTGTGAGGGTATTGGAGAATCAGCTGCAGCGCAGGTTGCGCCGAGAGCAAACGGGGCAGCTCCCACCCATGGTGCCAGCGCAGGACCCTGACAACGGCCTGAAGCTGCAAGCCCCAAAGAAAATAGCCCCAAGATTCCCTCTGTCTTAAACGGATTTCCTCTGGGATTCCAGAGACACACCTTTATTAGCCCCACAGCTCAGCGACGACACCCTCGTTAACAGCCTCTGCTTTGACGAGCCTGCTGAGCCGTCTGCTTGGGAAAGGGCAAGGCCGACCGTCCCTCTGCCTCCTTCCACCAGGACAGCGATGGCGCTTGGGTTCTGCCCCTCGGGATCCATTTCCCAGGGAGCTCCGGGCAGCTTCTGTGTGGTGGGGAGAGAGAAAAGGCAGCCGCAATGGCTTTGGTGACACTGGACTTGTCTAACAGAGAAGGTTAGAGCTTCCGCCTTTCCCAGAGCCCTTTTTCCTTGCCCTCAGAAAGACAATTCAGATTCCAAAAGCACGTAACAATGTGACCCACTGGGCCTCTGAGAAACAGGGGTCCAGCACTTAACCTCTGGGAAACCGAGTTAAAAATCCAGGGATCTCCGTGGCCAGAGCAAGCCTACCTGCATTGTTCAAAGCTCCCTTTTGCAGCTTTCCACGGAGGCACTTTCAGCTCATTCCAGAATGAAGGTACTTTGCAAGTAACAGCTGAGAAGACCATTTTTCTGCTATACTTTTAGCAGAATTAAGAGAGCTCAGCGATGGATTTGCACTCGTGCAGGAAGGAGGCAGAATCCCATGGTGGTAGGTGGTACCCAACGGCTCTTCAGCCAAGGAGTTGACCTGACGGTGGGGGCAGCACAGAGCGAGGGCACACAGAGAGAGATTTGCTTCCTTGACAAACGGTCAATTATAACCGATGCCAAGCTTCAAGAGACTTGGATTTGTCCGAGGTGCCTTTGCAAACACACGTCCTCCCCTCCTGCCAACAGCCCCGCGATACCGGTAAATCAGCCCCGGGGAGCCGGCAGCACTGCCGGCCACGCGGAGGGGTGAGCTCACTGCGGAGCCTCCGGACGGGTAAGCGCAGCTTCCCCTGCGGCCCCTACCTGTTCTCTACAACTGCACGTCAGAGCAGAGGCGAGGCCGCTTGTCAGAATAAAAATGACCTGTAATGCTGACTGGGTCAAATCACGACTAAGGCAAAACTCTGCAGTCTGTACAACTCGGGGTCCTTTCACTTGAACTCACAAACTGCCTGTTCTCTTCCCCTTCTTTCCCCACTTACTGTACCATTTATCTAACAATTAAGATTTTTAAGAACGCAACCCTAAAAACTTATTTATACAAAACTCCTCTCAGTACCACTGGAAACTAACATCCATACATTGTGTTAAAATGAGAAAATAGCTAACCTGTTATTTTCTGATGTACCTCTGCAAGTTTGGCTTTTAAAGTAAATTACCATTTCACGACATGCAAGTACCTCAGCTAAAAAAAGTTCTGAGAATCAGTAATCTATTACCAACTTTATTTTTAGTTTGCCTGACTTTGAGTTTCATGTCGTTTGGGAAAAAAACAGAAGTTCCTCTCGCTCCCATACACTCAGTGTTACACCGTACAATTTATAGCAACTCCAGATGGAAAAGACTTACCCTCATTTGTTTGTTGGCATGAAGATAAATATAGTCCTCATTTCCGGAGAATTAAAAACAACTATTCCTCTAAAGCACTTTTCTATTCAAATTTATTTTCCCATACTTATCCAAAAGTAGCAGCTTCTTCTTCTTAAAGAAGAATGATTAAAATGCTTAGTTTGAAGACTTTCAAAATACCACACAGAATAAAACCGAAAAATTTTATTCAAAAAACACAGGGAAGACACACAAAGACAGAACATGGTAAGGAAAGTGCAGAAATGCTAAGTTATGTGATAAAATTTTGTAACGTAAACCCAGTATTTCTAGGCCCAATTCTAGACACAGGCTTCACCAGTGTGACTTCAGATAGGGTCTTCCTTCTGCCAGCACTGGAGGAAGAGCCCTTGCTAACAATTTTTTCATTAACAGTAAGCATGACCCCCTCATCCTGTCTCATGGGTAGATCTGACAAGCTGAAATGGTCCCACTGGACATACTGGGGACACTTATGCAAAGAAGAATTTCCTAAATGAACTCTTGCAGAACTTTACAAGAGGAATTAGCATGTGAAAGACATCATCTATTTATACTTTGTAAAACAAGGGGCTCTTCGATGCTCGTGCCAGCCATCCTTCCTGGTTCTGGAATTCTATCTGAAACTGAAACACAGACATAAATATTCTCACGCATCTGGAGATCCAAAGGTGTTAAGTGTTATTTTCTACTATTATCAACTTTGATTCAGAATATCATCGTAGGCAACTCGGGCAATTTTGCAAATATATTTTTCCATGCAACCGTATGAAATAACAGCTTTGCATTACTAAGGATGAGGTTTCAGACAACTTGACCTCGGCTATTGTGAACGACCTAACAGAACCACCGCATTCCCCACGTTTCATCAGGATTCCCAGCCTGTACACCAGTTTATTGGCATATTCATTCAACTAAATAAGCAAGATGATTTCTAATATGAAAAGCAAGTTAGACATTAAAATATGAGACTTTGAGAGTTGAGTTTATGAAAGGACTCAATTACCTTAATATGCAGCCTAATTAAAACAGCTAGATAATTAGTATTTTAAACCCACTGCCTTTAGGTCTCCATTGACATACTCTACAAACACATGCAGAAAGTAATTTCAGACTACAGTTACTTAAAGGTTAAAAGCCTTAAAACTGTTATATTTTTTGTTAGTTCAAAAAGCAATGTGCTGTCAAATCTTACGATTAATCCTGAGTTTTGTAACTAACCCTAAACAATTAAATCCCCATGTGAAATTATATTGGCGTCAACAGGGCGAGGTGACCCTGCACAGAGTCAATTTCAGAACAGAGGTACAAAGTTATACTTTAAAAACAAGTCTTCTGTACACTGAATTTGTTTTTAAAATGGAGAAACTTCTGATGGGAATAATTATTTTGTAACAAAGAGATCATTTACAGCAGTTTTGGTATTGAAATTTTATTTCTTCAGCCCCCTCTTCTGGCAGAAGGGAAACAACATTGTCTCAATGAATTAACTGTTCAGGTGTTTAGTACTTCTCACACATTTTAGATGTAGTATCTCAGGCCTCGTAATTTTCAATTTTTTGGATACAAAAGAAATAGTTGATAGTACTAACACAACAGTACTAAATTCTTACAGTAGAAAGTGAAGTAATATGCCAAGCAGACTCTCTGAAGGCAAAAACTGGACCAACGATCCCTTTCATTCTGTAGTTCAGGCAGTATGAATCGTAACCAGCCAGACCAGAAAAGGAAAATAAGATTCAGCAGTGTTCTACCACAGGGCAATGAACTCAGAGCTTAAGCTTTGCAGTCAACAGGATGTGAATTATGTCCTCAGGAAAGGTTTATGCCATATACAGAATTGACAGCTAAAGAGTTAAGAACTTTCTATAGGAATTAGCTAAGTTAGAACAGATGACAGAGATATACACCCCATATTCAACGTATTTTACTGAGAATTTAGGTGAAATTCTTGTATTAAATTGCCAGTGTAATAACACTGTCTCCAGCTGACCCATTCCAGATTTGTAATCATATAAGGGAGTACAATTTGATCAGTTTAACTTTTAGGAAAATGGTAAAGCAATTTAGCAGATGACCTGATACTGAGAATTGGGATATTAGTATTTTCTGGTCTTTACCAGGAACTGCAGAGCAGCAAAATTAATTAGAATAGCACAGCTGTCAAATTCAATTGAGTTTTCAGTTTTTAACAGTCCAAAAGCCTTAAGAGAACAAAGCTACACAATTAGGTTTTTTTTCCCCTTCTCTCTAGTAACTAACAAGGTAACAAGCTACCACAAGGTAAGAGCAGCTTCACAGTACCTTCCACTGTTGAGAAATTACATAACTTTGGTCGCCTGCAATTTTTAAAAATGTCTGCTTTATAAATAAAATACGTTCCCCTAGAAGAGAGAAGGTTGTACTGCCGCCACGTGTGAAGGCCAGGCAGGCCCTTCCGCTGGCAATCGGATCCGTATGCTGTGCATGCTGTCCGTCAGCGTACCGGCAGAGAGAAGCAGGCCTGAGAGCTGGTGCAATCGGTCACTTACTTAAACAAAGGCATGTATGTGGGCTGTTTGAGAAATCATGGGTGGGTCTTTCTTGAGTTGGGTATAGTAAGACCTTTCTCAAATGAATACCTGAGCGACAAGCGTGGTCACGTCACACAGCTCAATGGTACTTCTGAGCTATATAAATGCTGTTCTGCTAAAGAATTTTTGTTACAAAAGAGGTGTCAGTTCAAAGCGCTCCTTGCACCGAGAAGGAGGTACACGGTGTCCATCTGCATGCTTATGCTGTTACAAGCATACGTATCGTATAAAAAAATCCAGTCACAAATAAAACTTTTGCAAAAATGACCCCGTACCCACCTTTCTGACTTCTCTCAGAAGGTGGTTTGCCCAAGTTTTGCTTTGGATAATTCAGCAAAGACACTTTTGGAAAGGTATTCTGGGTACTTCCTTCTTTACCACCATGTAAGAAATGAGAGAGAATTCCATACAAGAGAGGTCTGCTTAAGAGAGAAATAACAAAGCAGTCTATGAAGTCAATGAAATACTGAGTATTAAAAACCCACCCCTTCCTCAGAACTTCTCAGACCTTAATGTTTACTTCTTGAATATGTACAGACGTCTTTAGAGTAATTATTTAAAATACATCACGATGAGTATTGTTATATAAATAAGCACAGACCTAAGCCCACTGTGAACACCAACGCTCTCCTAAAAAGCTCGCCCTAAGAGATGCTCCCAGTTACCCTGCAGGTGCAGGACTGGAGTGTGCATAGCACAGGAACACAGGTCCAGTTCTCGCTCGTGCAGTACGAAGGATCAGACTTTGGCAGGCCATAGCCCAGTACTCCACTGCACAGCCCAAACCTGGGGCTTCCTAAGCACCGGACAGATTGACAGGACAAGCTACAGAGAATGCTGGATGTGTTTAAACGTGCTCCAGTACCCTAGCTCATTAATGCAGTCGTATCAGAGCACTGAGAATTTATATCTAATCTCAGAGTACAAGAATCTTTTTCTTGCTCTACAAAGCAGCTCACTGATATGCAAAGAGCGGATCCGTTTTCTGACTGTAGGAGAGACTGTACTGGTAAGAGACTTGCGTTTTGGTGTGCAAGCATGCTATCTGGAGAATGCTGCAGAGTTGGCAGAATTAAATGTTAGTTTTGAGTGCGTTTGAAAACGGCTCCATGTTTGACATTGTGAGTTTGAATCCAGCATGTCAGAGCATATGTGATTTAGTCACATTTCAACTGGTGAGAACATTTATGTGTGATTTATGACAACACTAAAGAGAAAAATATATGCAGAACAGAATACACTGTGCATTCCAAAATCACTCCTTACACTGATTTTCCATTTGCGTCTTCAGCTATGTTCAGCTCTTTGGCAAGAAACTGTCTATCCAAGGGCACTGCAGGCTGGCCAGATTCTGGAAAAGAGATTTCCCCCAAATTCTTAAGACTGGTAAGAAAAATATCACCAATTAACTTTTAAAGACTGCTCAGGAGACTTCAAAAGAGAACAAGAGCACCCATCTCCCTTTTAGACTATTAATATCTAACAGTATATTGTAATTCCAGGGAACTCACTTAACATTGGTGCTTCATACTCATATAATGAAGTCTTACAATGTAAAGATAAATTAATCAGGCAAACAACTCTTTCTCTAAAGAAGTACTGTTATCAGATACAACAGTTTAACTACTACACAGACTGTCTCCATCTCCCCTTCAGATGAACCTTTGTGCCTGTAATTTTAGTAGAGTGAAATATATCAAATTATTAAATAGAAAATGTAGTTACTGTGTCTAAGCACAACTACAGAACTTCAAATTTCAAATACAAGTTAGCAATAGTTGCAAAAATAAGTAAGCACTGTACCACATAAATTACATCCACCGTTTAGATGTTGTAGTCTAAACAGCTCTCAAATATTGGTATTTTAGCACAGCCAGTAATAGTAATGCTTAACTGCAGTTGTTCAAAAAAAGACTTTCTTTATATTCTTTTTTGTTATTTAAGCTGAGGACATCTAACTACATTTCTGATACAGCTTATATACATGAATTGCCAGAACTGCTGTAATTCAGGCTATCAACTGCTTTATGCGTACGTATTACTTTAGTTTTTGTTCATTTGTAGATTTCTATTTTTTTACTTTACCCAAACGCCAATGAGACAAAAATGTGATCTATGCTTTAAAAATATTGCTAGCGATTTTCCAAAACAAAAGCAGACATTTGAAGAAAGGTATTTTGATTTTGCAGGCTGCTAGCAAGTTGTCTTGCTCTTCTATCAACTACTCTGTCAAAGGATTTACCTCAAAGATAAGGAGCAAAGAGTAAGTTTTCTTGAAAACTAACGGTATGATTTGGCTTAATGCTGCAAGTAAAGCTGTGGAGACAGTGTTTCTATCTTATTTATTTCCAAGGGAAGACAAGATAGTGCAGCTCGGTCCCACTTACTAATTTCATGGTATTAGTGCAATTACTCAACCAAACAGCAAACGTCTATTAATATAGTGATGAGAACAAAAATTCCGCCCCAATACCTGCAGTTAAAACAGATGCTGCGTATTTATATTTGTTATATTCCAGGTATTCACGAATTAGTTCGTTGATTAAGAGATTTTCATGAGACAGTGGTGGCCGTGGTTCGCTTTGGTCATCCAGTGCATTAAAAACTTCAGCTCTGATCCTTGCCTTTATTTGTCCAAGAACACCTCTTTTTTCCAATGTATCCTTTAAAACTATTACCATAAAAAGATTGGTTAATATAAAGCCAAATGCACTCAAATATAAAGCCAAATGTATTCAAACAGCATTTATTATTCACGGTATAAACGTAATTTCGGCATATTCACAGTGAAATAACGATATTTGCACCTGTGCACATGCCAGAGGTAACCAGAGGAGGAACATTACGGATAAAAATTAAGCCTTCAAAGCAGTCACAATTATTTATTTTAGTAGTAAAGATGCGTTCTAGCAATTTCAGAAGTGGGACGCTACTGGACCAAGCTGTCGTTAACGAGTGAAACCCAGACCAAGACACGGAGCGCCCGTGTGGAGCCTGAGGGCCGCTTCCCCCGCGGCCCCTCAGGGGCGGTGTGAGGAGCCAGGGCCCCGTTACCGGCCGCCGGGTGTACGAGGCAGGGCCGGCTGCCCGCCCCTGGGGTGGTCCGA